GATATTAAAGGACGGATTATGCTCAATGGTATAGCAAGAGAAGATCAGAACGAGATCTTAGTGACAGCTGACGTTTGTCCTCACCTTAATGTTTTTTTCCAAGAGAGAAGGTTGAAATTTAGTTCAAAAAACAAAGTTTTCAATCACATAGGTATCATCTGAAGGGTAAGGATGATTTACCTATTATAGAAATTGATAGCAAGATCAAAAGAGCATCCATTGAGATTAAGACAATGGCCACAATGAACAATGAAGCATGGCAACGGAAATTCTCTCAAGTACTTGGGCCTCTTGATTTCTTGACAAGTTCTTTGTCACAAGTGTATGAAGTGGAGGCAGGATATTGTATGCTTACAAATGGTGTAGTCTGGTATCTTTTTAAAGATAATAGTAATTATTGTATCAACTATACATATACAGTCACCGGCAAGAATCGATTAATAAACATGAAAAATCTATTTTTTTTCGAAGATCTCTACTGTACGTATCTACTATGTAAGTCCAACGATTTTGAAGATAATTGTTTGTACTTTTCATGAAAAATGGTGATATTAGATAATGTGACAGTGTCTATGTTACACATACGAAAATCTACGAAATTTATACGTGTAACCTAGACACTGCCGCTTTCCGACACTTTTACGCGCTAGTCAAATCAGTCCATTATAATTGACGATGATTTGATGAATGACCGCTCCATATGCAGAATATGCTGAACGACCATAAAGTGTCGGAAAAAAGTGTCGGAATTATTGACTATAATCGCTCTATCGAACTTCCGCTTCGGAACGGTAACAGGACTAAACATGTCACCATTTCGTGAAAAGTACAACCAATTATCTTCAAAATCGCTTACATAGTAGATACGTACAGTAGAGATCTTCGAAAAAAAAAAATAGATTTTTCATATCGATCGACAAAAATGCCTGCCGGTGAGTGTATTTATATTGTCTGCAATCATCATAAACAAAATTTTTACTTTTATGATTTTATTTTGAATAGGTATTATACACAATGATGATTTGACAATACAATGTGCAGGTCCATACTGGTCTGCATCAACAGAGTTGACAAAAGTTCTGTTACACATTTTCAACGAAATTGAAAAGAAACTTATTGCTGAGCCAATTGACATGGTTCTCACTGTTTCCGAACATGACGATGATAATGATGAAGGTAGTAATGAAGGGAAGGAAGGGGATTATAGGGATGAGAATGATTTATCAAATATACAGCAGGATGCGATGGATATGGATAATCAAAGCCAACAACAAAACCGGCATTCTGACAGTCAAGGAAATTATCAATTTCCCAACTATACTACTAATAACTTCAAATCTAATGACAAATGTTATGATAAAGATTTCAACAAGTCACTGAAGAGTCTTCCTGATTATTCGTCCTGGTTAGATAGGATTATTCTGCTAATAGATACTTAATTACTATTATACAGAGAGGAAAAATTTTTTTTGAATCTTGAAAGGAAGCTTTTGCGTATCACAAGTAATAAAATTATTCGTTGTTTTGCTTATCTGCTACTCATAACTGTTCTCGAGACTTACTGTTAAACAATGACAAAGTAATAAAATATGTGTATAGGATTACCCGCATATGGAAAATTATAATTATAACGGTTCAACCGAATATGAAAAAGCAATACGTTTTTTGGAGATAGGTTGCAATTGTGGTTGCTCAAAAAAGATTCCGAGAGAAAAATTTGCCAAATTACGTGAGCGTTTCAAGCTCTCTCTAGATCCGGACAAGATATATTTTTAATGGCCCAACCGAAAGCAATGAATGGGCGGAGAAACAACTGCTAGTCGACGTCTTAAACAGAAAAACGCGTACTAATAAGAGAACTTTTTATTATTGAGATCGCTTTGTCAGCAAACGTATCTCAATATGTTAGGAATTGGTCGCACGCACTTCGAAATCACTTGGCGACGAGCGGTATAATACCGCGCGTTTATGGTAACATAAGACGAATGCCACGATAGAAAATCATCATTGATATAATCGTTGCTACTGCCATGAAGAATTTTCTCGAAAACTATGCTGAAATACATGGACTACCAAATCCCGGTAGAAATGTTAATCGCATTACTCAATCGCTTACATTATTGCCAACCAAAACGAGTTACAAATCGGTTTATCGCAATTTTATTGCTGGTCTCGAAAAATAATAGTACGTTGAAATTGTTAAAATATGATGCGTTTCGTAAGTTATGGCAAAACCTTATATTCAAATTATGAGTCCACAAACGGATTTATGTGACACGTGCCAACATTTTCGGAACGGCTTACAATACAACGCTCGCAAGGGAGAAGATTTATTGAAAAAATTCAAAGAACATTTAGTTAAAGCTAAATTAGAAAGAAATTATTACAACAAAAATACGAAATTAGCAGAACAACCGAGGAAATTGGTAGATGATAATTACGTTTTAACAGGAAGTAAAGCTGATTATTATTGTAGTGTTGACGCTACCGCTCATTATGGTTATAATTGAGTGCAAAATGTTCACGTGCCCTATTCCGATCAACAAGTAAGTAAGATTTACTATCTCAGTCCGCGTAAAGTACATTTATTTGGTATCCAAGATGAAGCAGTACGCGAACAAATTAATTACGTTCTCGATGAAGATGAAATAATAGGGAAAGGCCCTAATGGCACGTTAAGCATGGTATTCGATGGAATTAAGAGATTAAGTAAAGGCGAAAAACATTTAAAGATTACTTGTGACAATGCAGGAGGACAGAATAAAAATAATGCCACCATTTGATTTTATCTATATTTAGTAATTTGCGGTTATTATGAAAGTATCGAATTAAATTTTATGATACCGGGACATACTAAATTTAAGTGTGATGGTAGTTTTGGATTGATTAAAAAGCTTTATCGAAAAACGACAGTAGATTGCGTGGGACATATTGTTGAGGTTGTGAAAAAATCGAGCACCGCGGGATTAAACAAGGCTCAGTGCTACGAAAATGGAAAAGGCTTTCAATACTTAGATCTTAATTCTGTGTTAAGAATTTTTTTTAAGAAATTGATTGGTTTGCAAAAATATCAACATTTTGTATTCGAAGCAGCCAAACCTGGTATTGTCAAGGCTCAGCTGGTTGCTAATGGTGCGTTTACTGAGTTTAATTTATTGAAAACCAGAAAAGCAAGTATTTTTGAAATTACTAAAGAAATTAAATCTTTTTCTATTTTAGTTCTAAACCCGCCTCCTTTGGATTATAAGCGACAAGAATATCTTTATCGTAATATTCGTCCATTTGTCAGAGATGAATTTAAGGACATTACTTGTCCTAAGCCCGTATAAAATGTAATTGAGCAATTTTATACTAAATTAATAAAGTGTTAGATGACATAATTAACTCCTATTTCTCTTAATTCTAGCCTGTTTAATAAATAAGATAACTAAAAAAAACAATAACATTCCACTACTTATTCAATAGGCTTTCTCTCTCTTATTAAGTTTATTAAGTTGGTTTTCTAATTCAACTCTAGGAGTTTTATTCCATTTTCGATAATAAGCCTCCGGATCTCTTAATTTTTCAGCTATTCTTTCATTTTCCATAGTACCATCAAATTGGTTGTTTTTCTTAATCGGTCTATAATGTCTTCAATATTTTTGCAATTTAGTTTTAGGAAACACATTTATCACAAGTTCAGATTCGCTATAATCATTGGCATAAGAGGGAACATCACCTTCCCACTTTTCCCTTTTAAGCGTTTTTACAAGTTCTTCTCCTAGTTCGCATCCAATCTGAAAATCATGAATGTCCATAGTGCTTTTAAATTTTTGCATTGTTTCTTGTAGTACTTCGCCTAGTTGGTCTCAAGTTTCTTGGTCTATAGCATTGATATCATTGGGTAAGTGTTCTTTAGTAGAGATTGTTGTATATCCAAAACTTACTTCATTACGCAACTTAGCAACCACTTTATTCTTTTCAATAATGATGTTATCTGAATTGGGTTTAAGTTTTTCTTTAGTTATTTTTATTTGTCCAGGTGTAGCCGTTTCATAAGCTCCTTTTGATCCTGTAACACCATAATTTTCTTTATATTTAGGAACTATTCGCATATAGAAGTGTGGTGAATTCTGACCTCCTAATTTTCCTACTCCGAAACTAAAACGATACCCCATTGGTTTATATACTTTGTCAATTTTGTTGATTGTATCTTTCAGCACTGGTAAGATATCTGATCATTCTTGCCTGGTTATTTCTCGTAAGTTTCCAGCATGACGTTTTGTACAAACTGCTGAATGAGCTTTAGTTTGTGATCTCAATATTAAACCAGAAAAAACTTTACCTCCAAAGTCTGACAATCAACATTTATACATATTTTTTTCGTGCACCTTAACATTATCACAAGTATGACAAACTATTTCGCCTTTTTCTACACTTTTTTGGCAAATATAACTCGGAGTGTTATCATCTTTTCAAGAAAAATGTTTGTCTTGTTCGCCTCTTTTAATGTCTTCTTGACAATTTCGACATTGGGAACATTTATGTCCTCGACTGTCTTCATAGGCTGTGACATCTCAATCTAACATAATTTGGCATTGAGGACAATATGTAGTGAATCTATCCCATCTCCCATTACCTTTGTCATTTAACCTTCTCACCCTAAATGGTCAATCAAAATTTTCTTTATTTTTAACCTTTTGTAAAGTTTCTCTAAAAATCTTCTTTTTATTTCTTTCTCAATCAGCAGTTTTTTCATCTAATTCTTTTTGGATTAAGGTTTGTGAACAATCTCAACAACAAAATTCTTTATGTTCTATCTCTTCTTCATCTCATCAATTAATTTCTAAACCTTCTTTTATATTTTTGCAATTAAAACATTCTTTTTTGGTCATGATAAATTTATTTTTTATCAAAAAAAAAAAAAAAAAAAAAAAAAAAAAAAAAAAGTAAAACAACTGTTTAAAAATAAGAGAAAACTTTACAAATTATAGTGAGAATGAAACATTAATATTGTATTTAGAAATCTCATTGCTAAATCTGGAATAGATGGTAAGTTTGTTTGTATTGAAACTTTTTATCCAAATATTTTTGTCTTTTATTTTTATTTTGTGAGAATACGTCATTATTCCGCTTTCTTTTCTTAATGTTTATGATTTTTCGTTCCTCTTGATAAATTTCATAAGTGATTTTTTCTTGATCTAGATATTCCTGGAGAGTTTGGGTATCATTAATTTTAAAAACATAGGGAGCAATTTTTTCTCCTTGTTCTTTTTTTAAAATACTTCTAATGGTGCTGTAATTTTTGGGTTCCATGGTGGACTTAATGTAAATTAGTTTCATATATTTATTTTATATAGGGATAGTCCTATATTAATCCTGTTATGGTTTATATTCCTCACCTTCTGGTATGATAAAGGGAGCATTAAAATTAACAAGTCCATAAGCACCATTATTATTTTCAAAATGTTATTAGTCAAATTAGTTAACTTTCAGCCACATCCGCCTCACATTTATGTCACATAATTAAATGTTCACTTTGTCTGGTTTTGTTGCAGTCTGCCCCAAATGATATTTCACACTAATTATTGTAGGGAATTAATTTTCATTTTGATATTATTACACCCACCATGGATACCCAAAATTTCCAAAAAAAAAACATCGCTCACGTGCCAGCAGAGTCAGAGCACCACCTTATCGATCAGAGAGCCCAGAAAATTTCGAGCCGGAAGAAAATAACGGGGCCTTCTACCACCGGGGGGCGAAAGCCGAGAGTGTAGCCGAATATCTATATAAAATCCGCGATGATAGTGTAAGACCAAGACAATTTCTAGGGACAGATACCGAAGATGGAATAGAAGCTATACTTAGTGAACGGCAAGGTCATTCATTACACGAATTTATTGATGGCGATGATCCACTTCGCCCTTTTATTGATTTTGATTTACCACAAGAAAAACTAAATAGTATCGATCCTAAACTTACACGTAAAGAGGTATATACTATCCTCTCTCGTGCCTTTGCAAGAACCTGTAAAGAAGTATATTCAGATTGGAATCCTCGCACTTTAACTATTGCCAGTAGTAGCAATAATGATAAAATGCCTCTCCATATATCAACTTTTGGTCTTCGTCTCAAAAATATTGCCAAAGTTGCAGTGTTTACTGAACTCGTTCGTAATAGACTCCCAATGGATCTGCAAGACAAGAAAATTATAGATAATATTGCAAATAAAAGATCGTTTTCCTTGCGAATATTTGGAACACCAAAATTTATTGAAGAAACTAAAAAACATGTGCGAATAAAGAAAGCATTATATCCAAAAGATAGTTCTGTTTTCGATTTTATGCTTCGTCCTCCGCATGATGATTCACCAATTGTAGACGGTCCAATCTCAAATGTCTCAGCGGAGCTGGTACGGGAAAAAGAAAAATAACAGAAAACTGTAAAAATAATGCCGGGACTATTGGATCTGAAATAGAATACATAGAAAAATTACTTGAGGAGTATAAAATCGAAGGTTTTGAAGTATTATATCCTTCCCCTACACTCCCAAATGTATTCCCCCTAAAACGCATTGCAGAATCTCAATGTCCGCTCTGTAATCGGGAGCACACTAGCGATAACGCATACGTAATCCGAAATAAGAAAACTTATCAATATTATTGCCATAGAGCGGATCAAGAAACGCAAACAGGTACAAGAAACCCCTCATTAAAACTTACTTTAAATATATCGGTCTTGGAACGGGAAAACAGTCTTCCATCCCCAGAAAAAATAGAGCGACCCAGAATCTCAGATCCAAATGACCACTTTGTATGGGGTGATTTAATTCGTATGTGTACTTCTAAGAAAAATTTTACTCGGAATGAGGTATATAATGCAATCCAGGCTACACTTGCTTGTGTGGTAAAAGATAAACGAACATGGATTCTTAAACACAGAAAACCGAATGGTAGATTATGGCACCTACTCTAGATTTCGGTAAAATAACTATTAATATAGTAGAACTTGGAGGAGAACCAATAAAATTAATCTCTTTGATAGATCGTATATGACAGCAAGGCGATTATTTATGATGATATCGATTTCTTACCATATCCACCTAATATCGAACAACCAAAAAACGAATTCTTTAATCTTTTCTTAGGCTTCAAGGCTAAACCGGCACCTCGAATTAATTACGATATTGTGAACACTATTATATGGCATATAGAAAATATCTGGTGCGATGGGAATAAAGTTCTTTCTGCATACGTTCTCAAATGGTTAGCATTTTTAGTTCAGTATCCAGCAATAATTCCAGGCACAATTCTTGTTTTGCGTTCACCGCCACGATGTGGGAAAAATATTATTACTGATTTTATTCGAAAAAGTTTATTCGGTCCAGAGCTTGTCAGATTTAGGCAAAATTTTGGGAAAATTCAACAGTAGTATTCAAGGACGTAAACTTATAATTATAAATGAAGCGGGAATGTTAAGTGGAGAATGGCTAAGTCAAATAATCACTTAAAATCTCTAATTACAGAAGATTACGCTTCAATTGAGCGTAAAGGTCTCGAAAATCAAGAATGTGGCCATTTTCCTGGATTTATAGTATTAAGTAATCATGACGCCCCAATTCGTGTTGAGCAAGGAGATGGTCGTATTGTATGTTTAGATGTTTCACCTCGATGTAAAGGTAATTTTAAATATTTTGGTCAGTTGGGAAAAATTCTCAACCATCCCGATACACCTGGATCTTTTATGAGCTATTTACTTGATCAAGACCTTTCGAATTGGAATCCACAAGAAAATATTCCTACCACTAAAATGAAAACAGAGACAATGCGTGAGCATCTCCCAAATCCCATCCGATTCATAATTGATCATATTTCAGTATGGTCAAAAGATCAAATTGAAAAACCAAGTTGTGCTATGTTATATCAGGAGTATCGTACATGGTGTGAAGCCAATGGTGAAAAACCATTCAGTAATAATAATTTTGGGAAAAAAATCCCACAAGTTAACATTGAACGAAAACGTGCTGGCGGTGGAAAAAGAGAATAGTAGTATATCCTTGATCGCTCCAAGATTGTAGCTAAATTGCATGAATCAGTTGGTGACATAGAAGAATTTTCAGACACCTCAAACTGAGATATCCACCAACACATCCACAGATATTCCTATATTCAATGTCCCGAAATCAGAAAAAAATATAGCCGAGTCAACGACCACTGATCACAATGAAAAAGGTAAGGAAATAGTATCCGCTCCACCCACTACTAACGTGACCCAGGACCTCTTCGATTATATAACAGGTCAAGAAAAAATTTCAATTGATTCGTCATCTGGGTCTACTACTGATATATCCATGGCTCCAGAAATCGGACATGTAGAACCAATAGACGATAAACCTAAATCTCCGAAAATTATAGAGAAATTAGTGAGTGATGAAGCTGGATCTGTAAATAATGAGCCCGAGATATCTCCCGACTTACCTGCAAAGGATGAACTAAAATCCAGCGATGAAGAAACTCCCCAGCAGATATCATGCCCACCCGGATATTTGACCCGGAAGCAACGAGAGGTACGTCTTCGTAAAAAAGCCATCGAACTTGGTGAGGATCCTCACAAATTCGTTACTATTACTGAAAAAGGTAAGCTCGATTCACATGGAAAAATATAATCGACTGACATATATAAAGTCATTGTTCATGGACATCGAATTATCAACTGCTTTATTTTGCTTTTAAAATTTGTGCAGTTTTTTTAGTCCCAGACTGTATGTCAACATCGAA